ATCCTAAGATTGATGAGGATGAGGAGACTAGAATGCAAGTGAGTTTAGATCATTCTCCTGGACTTGTTGAGGAGGAACAAGTTGAGAATGAGGTTGATGGGGAGAATGATTATCAACTTGCTCGTGATAGAGCTAGGAGGGAGATTAGGGAACCCGTGAGGATGGGTGATTATCAATCCTTTGTTGTTTTGTCTTATCAAGACTTAGTTTTTTAAGGAGTCTAAATCTTATGAGGAGGTTTTGAGTTGTCGACAATCTAATGAGTGGTTAGGTGTTATGGAAGAAGAGATGAAGTCCCTTGTGAAAGATAATACTTGGAGATTAGTTCCCAAATCTAAGGATAAGTCCTTGAAGGACTGTAAGTGGGATTATAGTATTAAGGAGGGTAGTTCTTCTAAAGAGCCTCATAGGTTTAAGGTTAGACTTGTTGTTGAGGGGTTTACTCAGAAACCTGGTATTTGATCATTTTGACAGTTTCTCTCCTGTTGTGAAATATACTACTATAAGAGTCATGCTTGTTTTGGTTGCTAAATGTGTTTTAGAACTTGAACAAATGGATGTTATAACTGTCTTCTTACATGGTGACTTGGATGAAACATTTTGTATGATACAACCTTAAGATTTTGTTGATTCTAGAAAGTCTAATCATGTTTGTTTGCTTAATAGATTTTTGTATGATTTGAAACAATCACCTAGGCAATGGTATATTAGATATGACAATTATGTGTCTTCTATTGGCTTTGTGCATATTGCCTTTGATAATTGTCTTTATGTTAAAAGAAATGATAAGAATGATGTGATTGTTTACTTACTTTTGTATGTTGATGATATGTTGTTGGTTGGATATAAAATGAGTGATATATAAATGACATTAAGAAGGATTTAAGTGCTGAATTTGAAATGAATACTTTGCCTCTTGCTTATCATTTTAAATTGAGTAAAGAACAACGTCCACAAGATGAATTTGATATTAAATACATACAAAAGGTGCCTTATGCTAATGCTTTTTGATATGTTAGGTATACTATGGTGTGTACTTGTCCTGATGTTGCATATGCTATTGGCATTTTGAGTAGATTTATGGCAAACTGTGGTCTTGTACATTGGGCTGCATTAAAATGTTTTTTTTAAAGGATTTTGAAAAGGTTCTGCAGATTTAGAATTGCATTTTAAATCTTGTAAAGAGAGTTAAGGTGTTGAAAGGGTATGTAGATTCTGATTATGCTAGTAATAAGGACAATAAGAAATCTATAACTGCATATGTGTTTACTTTGTGTGATACTTGCATTGGTTGGAAGTCTCAATTGTAGTCTATTATTGTCTTATCTACTACTGAAACTATAAAAGAGTTTTTGTGACTTAAAGGCTTGTTATGTGAATCTATTTTGTTTGAGAAAATTCCTACACAATTTAATCCCGCGGATATGGGAACAAAGATACTTTCTCTTTCCAAGTTTTAAATATTGCTTACAAATTCTAAGAATTAATTTTGGGTGAATTTTGTGTTTCTGCAGGTGTCACCACCTTCTTGGTGTTGATGTTATAAAACACTAATGTGTTTGGTGGCTTATGGCATTGGCATCAGAGATTTGTTGGAATTTGATGTCATTTGTGACATTAGTTTCTAACCATTTTGGGGCAATGATGAAATGGGCTAAGCCCAACTGCTAGAAAGTTTTTGAAGGAAAAACATTGCCCGATAACACACGAGGACTAGCCTAAAATACCCGGCCTGGTTTTAATCTTCAGTCTTGGTGATTGTGTGCCTTCATGGTTGAGGAGAGGGTTTTCTATTGTTGGCAGTGTGGTTATTTCCTTGAGCAGCCGTGTGGTAGTGTGATTAGGGTGCTTGGTGTGGTTTGAGGTCGTTCTTGTGTACAGAAAGGTACAATGAATTTGTTTCTGAGCCCTATGTAAACTGATGAATTGGTTTTCGATATTGTACTATTAATCTCTGATTTGTGCTTCCGTTGTTCATATATTTCCTTACAGATTCCTTTCCACTGAAACCTGATCCAAGGGGATCAGACAACCACAGGATGGAAGAAAGGTTTTGGTCTCTTCTACAACTCATATTATAATGGTCCTAAAAGTGCATGCACCTCGTCATCTTCTCATCTAATATCCAGAGTTATTTTCTATTCTCCCTTTAAAAATATTCATTTCTTTTATAAATAAAGACACCACCGTCTATACGCTAAAATCGGCACTTTTTCAGACTTTCTAAGAGTCTGGTACGTCAAAGGATCTCTGGTAGTTTTTTGAAATTTCCCCCTTTTTATTGTTTTAGAATAAAAGTACTTAATTAATTATGGATGATTTGATCTAGTAAAGAGGTAAAAACTGTCTGTATCAAATTGTGAATGATTATATTGGATTTTGAATCCACCTATTACTATTTATTTTAATTCTTGATTTGTAATCTAATTTCGTTCATGTGTTTTTGACAATTGATAAAGTTATGATATATAATTTTTTTTTTCCAAAACAAATTATACCACGACCCAAATATATTCTTAACCTGAATTCGAATTATTAGAATGCATTAAATTTAGATTGTCTATATGATTGCACACGTGATAAATGTTATTGCTAACATCTATTGTACATATGTTAATTTTAACGCGTTTAAAACTTATTGTGAGTCTCTCAATACTACAACAAGCAACTAATTATCTAATTGGTGACCAATTAATTAAATAATGCAACGGGTATGCAAAATTAATCAAGAAATAAGCTAAACTATCAGTCTTGAATTAAAACAAATAAACAATAGGGTTCATCTTCATTTAATACAAAAACGGATTTAGCCTAACATACAAAAAAAATAATAGAAAAATATCACCCGGATCATGATTAAATGCAAAAGATGTGGATCTTCAATTCTAAGGTTGAATTCTTCAAAATCTTGATATAATTGACTTTCAATTCCTTGCTATGATTTGATTTCCTTTCTCAAAATATAGTAATGTTTTCGCAACAAATTTCGAGATGAATAAGTCCTAAAAGTATTGACACTCCATTGCTTACAAAGAACTACCACTAATGTGAATCACCCCTTGCAGAAACTGCCCCATGTTGTCTCCAGTAAGAATATGGATTATTTCAGCTGCAGTGTGATTTATCATCCTCTGGAATCGACCACTTCTACCAACTAGCCGACCTTTTTGGTTGGATATATTGAACAGTGTTATTCTTGGCGGGGGAGGGAGGTACCTGGTTTTCTGGTATGACGGACATAGGCCTTGGCCTGATTTTCAGTCTCGGTGCAACTGTCCATTGGACAATGTACGTGCATGTGGATCATTATCACTGCAAGTATGGAATTGCAAAGAAGAAACACCATTTTCCCTACCCGCTTGATTTATAAGTTGCCCACTTAAATCATGTTTCTCAGCTTATTTTGATGCAAGAAGAAATTTTGATGGACGTCAGAATTGATAGAGATTCAAACAGAAGGTAAATACCCAATAAGAACATATCAAATGTTCGATATGCTAGAACTAAAAGACACAATTAAGGAATAAAAACGAGTATCTAGTCTTGTCCAATCTACCTTATACATACACGCCATTAGCGATGAAATATAGAGGTGTCAATCCGGATGGTCCAGGTCCGGTCGGCCCGCCAACATATGAGCCCGGTAATAACCCGCGTGGAAAAAAGCCAACCCGCTACGGGTTCCGGGCCTGTTCCGAGTCAACTCACAAATTTTGAAATACAACCCAAACCCACCCGCTGACCCATCCGGGTCGAACCCATGCGGGTCAAGGTCGCGTGGGTCGCGGTTTGTTTCGATTTGGCCCGTATTATTGTATAAATAAAATTATAAAAATATAGAATTTTTCATATTTATAGCAAAAAAATATTTTTTTTTTATTAAATGTAAACTAAGAATTGAACAAAATGATAAATTCATATTTATACCAAGAAATGTTTACATAAAATTCAAATTTAATGTTACATGAATTATTTATAACTTTGCAAAGTTAAATTTAACTTAAACAAATAACAATTAAATGCATTTCTAATTACTATTATCAAATATTTATAGCATAAGTACATCCCAACTAGGTTGACACCTAGTTTTATTATAATTTATAGTTTTAAATACATCTCAACTAGGTTGACACCTAATTTTATTATAATTTATAGTTTAAGGTGTAACTCGCGAAACCCGCGGGTCACACCTCCTTGACCCGTGAATTGTCCGCTCGGGTCATGGGTTGGCCTGCGGTCCTGGGTCGATCCTGACCGATTTTCACGGGTCTGACCGGTCTGTCCGTCTTGACACCTCTAATGAAATATGGGCTTGTAAGAAGTACCCAAGACTAGACACCCATTGTCACTGGGATCATTCCTCGTGAATCCTCAATTTCCCAGCCAAACATAATTTTTGATTAGAAGTTAGGAGAGTTCAAGTTGACATCCTTGAAGGATTGCAGTTCAAACCCAGTTCTACCCTAGTTATATCTTACACAGCCTGAGAATTCTCCACAATATCGTAACAACATTGGCTAAAGTTCAGGACTTGAAATTAATAGGAACTAAAGAACACGTTCATAAAAAATTAAAATAGAACTAACAGTGATCCTCGTCATTAGACATAACTTGTGAAAAAATGCATAAGAATGCAAAAGATTGATTCAAAACTCTCGTGCAAAATGAAACAAGTTCATAACTTGTCATCATAAAATACTCAAAAGACATTTTTGTTGCGATCACTAATAACTTGTGAAGGGCTGAACATGTAAAAGGCATTTGATAAAGAGAGAGGAAAAGAGAGAGAGCATAACATTGCAACAAGCCAAGTGAAATCATATTACAGGTACATGACTAAAAGCCTAAGTGAACGTGGTAATTCCATTTCTATCGTCAGATCATGACAAATGCTGGGTAATTTGATATTTACAAAACCTGGGAACTCATAAGTATACAAATAAGTGAGCTAAACTGATTTGAGTGGAAAATTGGTGAAAGCAAAACTCGAAATTCCATCATCACCAAAACCAGCTGCTTCGACTATCGACGGCTTTAACTGAAGTTGATACCAAGGGCATTCGCCCATACTTGGATGCAAACCAATTCACACAATGGGTCCTCCTTTCACTGTGACCTCCCAAGCTACTAATTCCAGTCGAACCAATCTCAAATATTTTACCTATATTATCACACCAGTAGAATATACTTAAATTGTGTATTTGTATGAGATACAGACGTGCAATTATTTTTCCCCGAGATATATATTTTTCAAAAGATCAATAAATTTCATTTCTCTAGTACCGAGAGTACGTGATAGAACAATCCATTGAAAAAGGCTATGCAACAAGAGTTACAGCATGAACAAATTAACAAAAGATAAGATTCCCCAGTAACACTCTCCCTATATAGCACTTTTCGCAATAAAGGCTCCCAAGGTTTCTGTTAAATAGTGATTTCCTCTCATATTTGATCAAAGCAAATAACCACTAGCCTAGTATAAGATGGTCAGTCTCTTGAAACTCAAATTTTCAAAATAGAAATGGTATTAAACAATAGCAGTTTTATCATAATGTCCAAGGAATTGAACTGGCTAGAATTTGAGTATCTTGCATAAACATCACAATCAATAATAACTAGCATAAAAAAAAATTCTTTTACTTTATTCATGCATCATAGAAGTCAAAGTCCATGTTGTCTTCTTTATCTATGGAAATATAGAAATGCAATTGTCATTAATTCGATTGGCATCGTAATTGGCAAAGTCCCTCCAACATTTTTCTTATGTACCAAAAGAAAAGCACGATTGGAAAAATACTAATGTTTTTGCTCGTTTAAATTTTTACGGCAACAACAAATTAGTGCTTATTCTCGATAAATTTGAAGTCGACTACATGAACCATGTTTCCCCATTTGATTCATCGACACATCTAATAAAAGATCTAAAGCGACTAAATTCTCAGCAACTACAATAAGCCCCTTATTTGATTGGTATTTAAACCAAAGTGCTAATTTTTCTTTGCTTTGAAATAAGTCAAACCAAAAGTTCCAATGTAATTGACATGGGATTCTTAGGGGTCTTTTCTGGGTATATAATAACAAATTGAGTTATAGGAGGACTTTACAAATCGAGTTATAACCCCAATTGTGAAAGAGAATTGACTATTTTACTAAACCTCGAGGAGTGATTTAACTTTTCACTCATTGTATAATTATCCCAAAGACCATACTTGTCTTTTCAGATATATGATTTAGATGATAAAAATTCTTCAAAGTCTCGATAATTTTTATGCACGAAATAAAATTATTCTGTGTTTGTTCTAAAGAGAATATTTGAAGTCAAAAATTACCTTTTTAAGAATATGTGGTTAAAAGTATAAAAAAGTTATGGGTCCACTTACAAAATTATTTTATAGGGAGAATGTGTGGTTAAAAATGAGTTTGAGGAAAAATGAAATTCGTGACAACAAACGCTTTATAAACAATTGTTGAGAAAGATATTACATATTTCAGTTTGAATAGATTCCAATCAACTTATTGCTAATTTGATATAATTTATTTTTTTCAATGCCTGAATTATGCAGTAAAATTTATATTTTTCTGTAACCTTATTTTGTTGATTCCATGATTCGCCCATATTTGTTCTCCAATTTCAGCACTCTTACCATCAACTAGTATCGACAACCCACCAATGGCAAAAGCGGAGGCACTGCCTCTACTAACATGTACATTTTATATATTTTATTCATTTATTTAGGATGTTTAATAATTAATAATTTAATGTATATAAACTTTTTTTAACCTTTTGGCTGACTGTAATATATTTTGTTATCGCTCTAATTTCAAACTTGTTTGCTCCAATGTCACACACAATTTGAACTCACTACGGGGCTACACAAAGAGGTACTTTGCTTGGATTTCCTATTAATTTCATGGTTCTATGACCTATTATGCTTCGCTTGAGCATTGATACTTCAGCAGGTAATGTCATATTATGATTTTTCCAGGTGTAAATGAATTTTATTAGTATATTAAAAAATTTAAATTTCAGCTCATTCCAAAGTAAAATCCTGGCTCTACCCTTGTTCATTATGGATGTCCTTCTAAATCAAGCAATGTACAAATAAAGAGATGTATCGTAGCCGCCGCCATTAGTAAGTCCAGAGCTTTCATTAAAAATAATTAATGTCAATCGTATTATTTGACTCTTTTTTCCCCAATTCTCTGTAATAAAATGTTTTCTAGTTCTAGAAAATGCAGCGTGTTCTGTTTCCCAAAACTTGGATTGTTTACAACTAACCCATATAAGGATACATTAACACTTCCGCCCTATTTTTAAGACAAACAAACAGTGTCCAGAACCAGACTCAGAACAGGAAATAACCAGCTAACAGAAAAACAATAAACGTCCATCTAAGTGGAAATTTGAATACAATAATGAAAAAAATCATAGAATCAAAAGTGAAAAGAAGGTCAACGGAACAGATCATTACCTTTTACCCAAATGGGAGGAGCACCAGTTGCATTTGCTACAAGGAAAGACATTGCAATATCTTCACAGTTCCTAGTAGATTTATCCATAAAAAAGGTAAAATTTGGTCATGGTTAAAAGGAAACAAGGAAGAGGAAACTGAGAAAGAAATCACAAGAACCTGTTCTTGGTAACATATTCTCGAATGGAAGATGGCATCTCGTAAGTGTACATACTGAGATACTTCTTGTGAAAGAAGGCAGCTTTAGAGAGGATCATACTGTATGTTCCTGTCCACCAAACAGACCACCATCCGCTATAAATATACGTATCCTGATTGCCTTTCTGCACCAAGAATGTCCAAGTGAATGGAAAGTTGGACTTGTTAGTTTACAAGATGAAGCCAATGCCTTGTGCATGAGAAAGAGCCAATTGAAAAAACAATAATTAAATTGGAAACCTCATTTCATTGCATGAGTGTGCTGTGTGAAAGGAGCACTGTAGGAACACTGCACACACCACCATGCACATTCATTACAAGTTGGGCTTATCCAATTACAACTTCAAGTCACCCTTGCTTTAGAACAAAGTCACTTTATCCAACAGCCGAGCAAAGTTATTTTAGTTAACAGCTATACCAACTAGGTAAAATTTTCATTTGTTGAGAAAACTTTCCTCTGATTTCAAGATAGTTTCTTGAAATCAGATTGAACACTTCAACATCACCAGATCTCTGTCCACATATTGGACTCAATCCTTGCCTATCAACTTGTGGAAGGATACACATCAAGAGAAATTGAAAAGGTGTCTTAAACAAATAATGTAAACTATGATTCTTGAGGAAAAGAACAATTTATTCTAATTCAAGAACTGATGGTGGAACAGGATAAGACAGGGTAAGCAACATATGACAAATGGAGCCATAGAAGGTGTATATATTGATTGATTAAACTTAGACCTTTATCATTAATATTATCATATGATGCTGGTACATCAAAAAAAAAGTACAAGCAATACATTGTAGTTGCAGCACATGAACTTAGGTAAAAACGTTTGTCATATTCCAATGATTAAACATAGACCTTTATCATTAATATTATCATATGATGCTGGTGCATCAAAAAAAAAGTACAAGCAATACATTGTAGTTGCAGCACATGAACTTAGGTAAAAACGTTTGTCATATTCCAAAGAATTCCTCAGCATATGGGTTAAACTGACAGAGGAATGAGATTCAGAGTAGGGTCTTTAAACTGTGTATGCGAGTCTGAACTAAGAACAAAATGATATATATTTTGTAGGACTATCTGGCCTACATTACACTTAAATGGTGTAGAACTAAGGAAATCAAGTGGACAGAACGATAGAACATACCGATTTATCGACCCAATGAATACGTGGTATATATCCAACCATTGTATCTGGTGCACTTTGCCAGACAGTGAAAGCAAATTCCACTGATGTGCAAGGAAATATGACATCGTCATCAATTGAAAAAACTGCATCCATCTTCAAGTCCGTAATTTCTTTAAATCTGTTGTTCAAACTGTCTTCTTTATTGATATCAAATTTTAACTCAATTTTTCGACCATTCAGATGTATAACGTGGTTTAGAAATTTCTTAAGAGACTCTGAAGGAGGATCAGGTTCGCTCCATACAATGTGTATAGAAGCAAGCCCGGGACATGACGCATAATGCGAAATGGACTGCTTTAGAAGATCATTTCTCTTCCATGTGTTAATCAATAAGGCATATCCTTTCCTGCAAAATCAAGGAGAACCAATGTAAGTATATAACTTCTATACTCGTTATATTTTTTTTAGAATGTAGTTTCTCATCTCTGGGTGAATCATTTGAAAATTCAAAATACAAGCTAAACCAAATGCTTGAAGTTAAAATTTCAACTAACTATAGAAAACAATCTCTTAAACTCAACAACATAGTAGAGCTTTTCCTCCTTACTTAAGAAAGAAAAACACAAATAAAGTAGCAACACACTATGAAATATCAAGATAGATGAGTTATGAACTCTTAAAGGCAACCTGACAAAATTAGTGTCAGTTTTTTCTCTAAGTTTAAGCAACTGGGCATCAATGGGAATTAATTTTCTTTTACTTTTTAGCAAAAATTCTTCCACATATTGCAAAAATAGGAATCCATCCGAGAAAGGCCACTACATAAAACAAACTCCCGTACAGGTATGCTAGTCAAAAAGATGTTAGGTCAACAAAATTCTCATGCATACTGGAGCTTCAGATAACAAAGAGCAAAGATAACAAGAAGCATGCGCAGAAGCAATATTATCTAATAAAAACTAGACAGTAGTAGAGTAACTTCTATTAGTGATTTGCATTCTGCCCAAAAAGAGAGAGAAAACAAGAGGGCGTGGAAGTGGCCATGAAGCCTAACAATATCCAACTTTCTGCGCATTTCACATAATATAATGACTAATAATTGCTTCTGTGCTAATTCAAAACCTGTCAAGATTAGGGCCCAACTTAAATTGCCAAAAGGAAATTGAATAACACCATTTTTAGCAGCTAAACGAGGGAAACTGAAAAAGTGATTGAACAAAAGGAAAGCGATACTGCTATGCATACTTGCTCCTGATTCTCATGTTCCCATTTTCACTTCTCTTAACTTTTCCTTTTATTTGGGTAACAAAACAACTTTATTGCTAAATTAATACTCAAAAGTGCGGTTACTAAAAAGAGCAATTAAGATTTATAGATGTAAGCAATAATAACATAGTAATTATGACCGGACAAATAGTGAAATCCTAGATCAGTTAAGATCCCGATCTAAAAAAGTAATCTCAACCAATTAACGAACTTAACTAAACACAAATAGATTAATACACTTAGTTTGATAGTATAGAACTGTGATACATACTCCGGGAGAGAAGATCGATTGAGAGAAGCCGCGTGTTTTCTCCATCCCATGAACGACGCCGCACGTCCGGCGAGAACAAATAACGTGAAGCCGATGCAAAAGGCGAGCAACAGTTTAATCTTTACAGATCCAACGCCCTGCCTTATCGTCCGATGGCTGAAAAGGCTCGTCCTCATAGTCATAGCTCTTTATACTATCTTGAAACTTAATACTTAAACAATTGGTAGGAGCGCTGCTGAGCGACCACAGTACCGATCCGAGTCGACTCAATACGGAACTTGTTATCGGTAGGAGAAGATTCCATAAACAACGGCGTGCGAGTTGGAGTACCGTGAGAGAAAAGCGGTGATATCTCGCCCCCCCCGGTTTCTACATTCGCATTAAACGATGAAGATTTCGAGTTAACGTGGGGAATACAGGCACCGGAATTTCAGATTTTTAGATGAGCAGTTACCTTTTTATGGAAACAAATTGTTCGTGTTTATATAAATAAAAATGAATATTTGTCTCTTTGTTCTAATATTTTGTATTGATACGGTTTATTTTCAAAATATATTTTTCTGTTTTAATTTTAATTACATATATTTTAATAAAATAATATTACACGTAAATAAAAAAACATTCAAATGGGACACTTGTCCAAGTAAATTTTAAGCGAAAATAAGTATTGTAATTTGTAAGTAAAAAAGCTTAATTATAAGTAAAAATAAACTTGTTAGAAGCTCATTGGGTTATCAAATAGTTGCATTCAATGCATGTTGAGAATTTGAATGATTGAAGTTTGAAAATGAAATATAATACACCCTTTATTACACGTTACTAATCTGGTAATCTCATTTGATTGGATAAGGGAGTATGAAACTCTTGACTGATCTCAAGATCGATCCACCGACTTGGACAAGGAGTTCACCTTTCGAACTCGAGTGCATACGTCAGTTTTGAGGGAAAGGCTTTGATAGCAATATTTAAACTCAAATATAATGAATTAATCAATAACGAACAATAAATCAATTAATCATTATTTTTAGATGATTAAAGTTAAAGTCACTTTAAACTCTGTGTGTCGATCAATAAGCATGCATATCTAAAGCAATAAAGTAAATAATATTAGATATGATTACGGAGGAAAATTAATTATCAAGATAAAAAACATATGGACAAACTATCAGTAAAATTCACTATAAAAGTTAACTTACAATTAGTTAAAACACTACTAACCTTATCTAACTCTGACCATCGAATTTGAAAATCACCAAGGAACTCCTTTGATTCCCAACAACTCTGGCTATTTTTTTCTCCATGTAAATCACCAAAAACAAACTCGTTTCGGAGTGCTGGAACTCTAAACGCTTCTTTTCCCAAATTTCAGAACTTTAAAATCTTCTAAGTGAATGTGAGATTTTATTTGGTGCATGGTCGTAAGGAGGGGGAGGCAAGATTGGGCTTCAGCCCAGCCCCTATCCCCCAAGGCCATTTAATCTTTAGTGTAAAAAACAAAAAGAGGAAATTACATAGAAGCTGATGTTTAAATTTTCAAGTTTAAAAATCAAGTGGGGAAGTTTTTTAATCAAAACTCAGGTTTCAAATTTTTAATATTATATAATAAATTATAAAATTGAATTAATTTAACATACCAGCCTACCCGCTTCTACCCCCACCGAATTTCATTCATTTTCTCTTCCACGTTCTCTCTCTATCTTATCCCTTCCCCCTTCTTTTCCTTTATCACACAGTTAACCAGAGGCAAGCCTGCACGACGTCGGCGCTCATGGCGGTGTCACTCTGGAGCAACAAGCGGTGCCTGCAGCCTGCGATCTGCACGCTACGAAAACGATATTCTATGTGGTTTGTTGGTTGTGGTTGGTGGTTTGCAGATGGTGATGTGCGTCCAGGCAGTGGTTTTTATGGCGTTTCTATGGCGTGATTCGGATATGGTTTTTGTTGGTGGCAATAGTAGTGGATCGGCGGTCGTGCTAGGGTTTGTTGGATCGATGGTGGATCAAGTGGTGGTAGATCCAATGGAGTTTGTTGGACCTGACAGCGACTGTGGCGATGACAATGGTTTTTGTTGGTAGAGGTGGTGGTGGATCTTGCGGTGGCGATGGAGAGTATATGTAACTAATAAATTTTTTTTTCAAGTAGTGATGAGGCGACGGTGATGGTTGTGCGATGGATCTTGGTAGGACGGCAGTGGTGATTTGAGTGGTGTTGGTGAGGTTGTGTGGTGATGGTGGTGCTGTAGATCTAGGAAGGACTAAAAATGGTGGTTGTTAGCAGTGGTGATTTGAGTTTTTTATGATTAAAAATATAATTTGGGACTAACTATATATAGAGTAAATTTTATAAGCTACACGTGTGTGAAAAGTGTAATTAATTTTCAGCAATTAAGTCTCAAAACTTTATATCAATGAGAAATGATATGCAAAGAATCAATGGTATATAAATATATTCCTCAAAATATGAAGTCAAATTTAGTGCTACTATGATCTTTTAAATTAAAAGCTCATATTTAATTTTTTATTGTATAATTTTTCTTTATCTCCCTATATGTGAACATATATTGGCCCTGTTTGTTTAGGATTAAAATCAGATTTTAATTTAAATCAAAGTCAAATAATCAATATTAACCACACATTTCATGGGTCCCACAGCTTATCAACTACACATTTAAAAAACTTCTATCACATTCTATTAAAATTCTAATTTTAATCCCTACCAAACACCCACATAATTTTTCTATCTTCTATGTGGACTTTTCTTCATTAAATTTTTTAAAAAACCCCTATAAAGAGTTTTAGGCCAATAGTTCCAAAGTCAGATGACTTATAGGACACTAGGTTTTTAAATACCCAACAAACTTAATTACTCAAGTCAAATAAACTACGAAGAAAAGTATAATATGTAACTCACAATTTTTGTGTAATTCAAATTATTTCTTTCAAGCTCAATAATTTTTTTTAATGGGGAATATAATAGAACTTAGGTCATTCAGTTAAAAGTCATTCCATATTCAAATTACCCCCACCAAATACATGATTGTCATCCCAACTCTCACACACGCGGTTAAAACTTACTCACAATAGTTTAACATGTGCAGTGTAGATGATACATATGTAGATGATACATGTAATAACCTAGACCAAGTATTCCACATAAGTTTTAAATATAAAGTTAATGAAAACTGTATTTACTGTTCATTAAGTTTACTAATGTTTGATCACAAAATAACACGTCCAATGAATTCATATAAAAATGTTAAATTAAAAAAAAATCCCCATTTTTTCATTATTTTTCTCATTTAAAAATAACAAAAAAAAAAAAAAAANAAAAAAAAAAAAAAAAAAAAAAACAGTAGAGTGTATGCATGAATATTTGTATTCCATAAATAATGGAGATGCATGCACCTAAAAACCTACTCAAAGAGAAACACAAATGCTTTTACCATGAAGAGCAACGCGAGTAATACCACAATTAACATCATTTTGACCTGAGATTCCACTATTTTTTACCCAAGTCTTCTTAGAATATGTAGTATTTGTCAATTGAGTCATCAATTTAGTTAAGTGAGAAATTAGATATTATTTGTTGTTCATAATCAAGGGCGTATAATACTTAAATCTAATGTAACCTAAAATACCACAATTATGACATATGGGAATGAACATAGGACCAACTTTAGGTTGACGATCCTTATGTAGCACAAATACTCTAGGTCCAGGGACTACTCACTTAGACTTAACATAAGCAAGAGCCAACTTGGTCTTAGAAGATAAAGCATGGGTATTAGGTTTATTCAGTCTTAACATGTTGTCAATCTTTTTAGAATCGCTAGTAAAGGATTGAAGTTGGGCACTAGACTTCTCGAGGTCACAAGTAAGAGTCTTAACCTTAACTTCTAAATACTCTTTATGTACCATTAACCCATTTAATCTACTACTAGGCTCTTTAAGTTTGTCTTCTCATTTTCTAAGTCAAGTTTATGCAATTTCTTCAAGGCAAATCTATTCAACATTTTCAACTCAAAGCACTCCTTAAGCAATTCATCGAACGCCTCACAAATATCACACTCATCTTCTGATTCTTTCTTTGAAGAGTCAGATTGTTCTAAGTCCTCAACTAACTCACTCACTCTTAACCAAAGATGTGAACCTTATAATTCCCCCCCTCATTAGGATTTGAATTCTCACTTTGATTATTGGAGCTAGAATCATCATTAGCAGTAGCATTCATAGCATTACTTAGATTTCTCTTATAACTTGGGCACTCAAATTTAACACGACCAAAACCTTGGCACTCATGATACCTCACGAACCTCTTCCAAGTATCTCTAGCATCACTCTTAGCTCTTTTATCTTTCTTAAATGTACTATAGTCACCCTTAAATCCCTCAGAAGGTCTCTTACCATTCTTAAAGAATTTCTTAAATTTCCTATCAATGTAGGCAAACTTCTCATCATTAAGTTTGTCATCATCAGGGGTATCACTATCTGTTTTCCTAACAATTTTGAGGGCTAATGATTTGTTCTTCTTAGACTGAGGTAGGCTAAGTTCATATCTTTAAAGAGATCATACGAGTTTTTGTAGGGATCTCATAACTTTTCTTACAATCTTAACCTTGGAATTTGGCTCACCTATGTTGAAACTAGAATTCACAATATTATTCAGTTGAGCATATAATTCATCAAACGAATCATTTTCTTCCATCCTAATTTCTTAAAACCTTGTGATCAACATTTGCAATTTAGAGTTTTTAACAGTCTTAGTTCCCTCATGTGTGGTTTCTAGGATATTCAAAACTTCTTTCGCAATCTCACATATATGCACTCTTCTAAACTCTTCGGGGGAGATAGCTATAAAAATGACACATAAACATTTACTATTCTGATTACACTTAGCTGATTCATCCTTAGTCCAGGTGAAAACGGTAGGGATAGCTACACTTGCAACAGTTGTTGATGGGGTGTTCCAACCCTTTTCTACACTAACCCAAACTTTTTCATTCATAGATTTTAAGAAAGCTCTTACCCTAAACATCTAGTAAGCATAATTGATACTATCGAAATAAGGAGGAACATCAAGTGATTGACTCATCTAGATAAATTGGGTCAAAAGATCGAAATTGGGCTCTGATACGACTATTAGCAATATTTAGACCCAAATATGCGGAATTAATCGATAATAA